TGATCGTTACTGGGCCTGCTACTCAAATTATTCGTTCGAACGGTGACGGATTGTCGACCGGCCAGACCGTAACACATCGATAGAACATCACTCGAGCCAATTGCCCTTGAGTTAAATGGCGAAGAGCAGTAAGAATGACTAGCGCTATCACTCATTGGACGCCGCTGAGAATAGGGCTGACCAATAGAAACGAAGTATTTATCAACAGAGCCGTACATTGGTTGATTGATTGATGACGATGACGGTGTGCTGATGTGCTGATAGGTTGAAGTTGTGATGATCGGCGAGTTGGGGTTGTAGTGCAGAAGGATGTTCTTCCTCTCCCCATTAAATTTTTCTTTTAACTCGCCAGGTGAGGTGGTGAGGGATCTCGTTGATGATGTGCATCTTCTTGAATGTTCCACCATGGGGTGTCTGCTGCTGCTGATGATGATGAGTATGAAGATGATGAGAATAAGTGTGGTGATTGTAGTAGCAATAGCGTTTATGATTATGTATTATTTTTATAATGATAGTAAGAACATGAAAACCAGCAACCCAAACAACAACAACAAACAACAACAACAGCAGCAGCAACAACAACAACAGCATGGCATGACAACAACCAACAATAAACAACAGTGAATATTACAAACAAATAAAAACATTCATCGTCTTTATTATCATCTCAATCATCATTAAAAACAAAAACCAACAATCATTATCACCATCATCAACAACAACACAATCACAAAACAGCAACAGCAACCACAACAACAACAGCAACAACAACACCACCAACAACATCAACAAAAACAACAATATCAACAACAACATCAACAACAACATAACCACAAAACAATAACAACACCAACAACAACAACAACAAAAACAACAACACAAACATACAAAACAACATCAAAGCCCTGCAAATGTACCTGTGCTGCCTTCTGAGATAAGCAAACGTCAACACGATGATTCCCGCCAAAAATCCCAAAGCCACGCCGACTGATACAGCTACTATCAGACCTGCGAAGATTGATAGCTGCTCTAGGTATAAACATCTAACCATAGACATATAAACATAGAGAAATCTAAACATAGACATCTAAACATAAACATCAAGACATAGATATGTAAACATAATCATCTAAACATAAACATCTAAACATAAACGTCTAAACGTAAACATCAACATAAACAAATCAAAACCACACAAAAACATTCATGATGATGATGATGATAATGATGATGATGATGAGGTAATGGGGTGATAATGATGACGACGAAAAAGAAAATAACAGTGATACAAATGATAAATAAACGAGTATGATGACGACGACGATGATGACGATGTTGAGGACGACGTAATAACGATGATGATGATGACGACGACGATGATGATGACAATAATGACAGCAAGAATAATTTGACGTGGGTGATTGATTTGATTGATCAGTGTTAATGGTGCAATGGTCAGAGATTGGACACCTTCGTTAGGCAGTCTTATTATTATTAATGACAACAACAACAACGACAACAACAACAACGACGATGATGACGAGGTTCTGCTAATTACGATCGTGACGTCACCGACGATGACGATGACGTAGATGATGAGGATGATGACAACAAAAGTGATTATAACAATGATAAAGATGACGATGATAGTGTCAAAAATTAAACACAATGATGACGATGATGAATGTCGTTTTGAAATATCGAATGGGGATGGTGATGAAGACGAAGATTCGCATGGTGATGAAAAAATAACAACACTAACATTATCAATTGTAACCAAAATGATGTTGATATGATGATTATAAGTTGATCAGGGGTGGGCAAACTACGGCCAATAAAGGGTCGTCAGCCAAACATTATGACCAAAAAAGGAGCCACAAATCTTAAAAATTCTCCTCTGGGTCGAAATTTTTTTTATCTAAGTACACATGCGACCCTTCAAAAGTAAAATAGTTCTCGATGCGGCCCTCTCGGCAAAAGGTTTGCCCACCTCTGACTTAGATAATGTAAAAACGATTGTAATGCAAATGACGATGACAAAGTTTAGGAGGTTGTTAATGAAAATTGCAGTGATAATACGCGATAATGAGAAAAAGAAATGACACTGATGACGATGATACCACTCATAACGATGATAAGGATGGCTGATTATAATGATGATAATGAAAGTGATAATGAGATGATATCAAGGATGATGACAGTAATAAAGATAATGGAAAAAATGATGACGATGAAGATGACGAAGACGATGATGTTGGTTGGAAAATATCGGTAAAAGTTGAAGTCATTTATAAATCAGAGAAAGAGAGAGAGAAAGGCAATTTGTTACAAGGTGGTCAGCGATTTATCATCACTACAATGATGCCTATGTACATATGAAATAAGACAAGGAGAAAAATAAAGGTTAAAAATAAAAAAAAAGCCCAAATACATTAAACAAATTAAAGATTTATACAAAAAATGAATGAATGCATGATTGCACAACTAAATGAATTAATGAATGAATGAATGAATGAATGACTGAATGAATGAATGAATGAATGAATGAATGAATGAATGAATGAATGAATGAATGAATGAATGAATGAATAAACAAAGTCAATATATGTGAAACTAAGTATAGAAACACAACGACATATTGAACTAAAATATATTTGTAAAACGTGAAAAAAATATACAGAAGAAAAAACCCAGAAGTTTAAAGATAGTTTAAAAAAATGGCTTAAAAAAAGAGAAAAATATTTGATGGATAACGAGGAAGTGATCAATAAAGAAGATAGATTTCTCAAATTCATGTGTGAATTTAGAGCTAATTAATATCATTCGGCGGTTTTGTTAACAGTAATTATTTATCATTTGTCAAACTGCTGCTGCTGCTGTTGTTGTTTTTGGCTATTTGTATTGAAAATTTATATTATTTATATTGATAATTGATCATGTTTTTGATTATTTTTTGATGTTTTAGTTTTTTTTATTTATTTATCTGCTCACTCACTTGATCATTCACCCATTCACTCAAGCACTCATTCACTGATTCACTGATACATTCATGCATTCATTCAATCATGCAAAAAAGAATAAAGCATGGAAAGGGAAGTTTAATATGAAGTCGAAAGTTGTTCCTATCCATCAAGGTGGGGTGATGGAATGTGCGAGAAATAAAAAATAAAACCCTCACAAAAAACAAATATATAAAAAATATAAACACTCCTAAAAAAATAAATTTATGAAAAATTACTAAACCAAAAAAATAAGTATGGAAAAAACGCAAAATAAACAAATGATCCAAAAATTGATGGATTGAACAAAATATAAGAAAAATACAGTAAGAAAAGTAAAATTACTTTTTGAAAACAGATGTGACAAGACAAAAAAAGATTTTACAGACAAGCGAGCAAGGTAGCAAAAATTTATTTTTGAAGAGGAAATTGAGAAATGCCAAATTTCATATTTAATGTTTCTGTAAATAATTAAAGAGGTTTCAAATTTAAGTCATCGCATGAGTGGCTACAAATTAAAAATAGTCTATAATGTTGTGATATTTATTTTTATTGTTAATTTAAAACACACACCCCCAGTTGAAACAATTTGATCCAACAACAAAATGGAGTTACTTGAAAAGTTAATATTTAACATAAAACACGTGAAACCCTGAAAAAATTGTATATTTACATTTTCATTCGAATAAAAATAATCAACAAACAACAGCAACAAAACAATAACAAACGAAATCAAAAACAGCTGCAACGCCATTGGCAGCGTTAACAAGTTAGGTACAGCAATGTAAAAACAACAACCACAAAAAAAACAAACACAACAAAAACAACAACCTCAGAGCCAACAACAGAAACAAGAACAA